TCTTTTCTCCTTTTACTTTCCTCCTTGGCTTCTCCTTCAATCTTTGCATCCCTTTCTTAGTGTCATCCTGCACCTCAAGTCTACTGTATCTCTCCTGTGTCTAGCTCTTGGCCTTTTGCCACAGTTCTCTGTCAAACAGGAATGTGAAATCTCTTCTGACCTCTGTCTCTCTCTTATCATGCCTCATTCCTCCTACTGAATACATCTTCCATCTGTCTGCAACTCCACTCTTTACTCTTCTGTGCTCTTTTGTATTACTCATTTCTTACAGCACACTTTCTCCTGTCTCCTCTGTTCTTCCATTGATAGCTCCTCTATTCCACATTTCTTGCCTCCTGCAAGTCTCTTGTTTGCTGCTCTTCTTCTTGATGTCCATTTCTCCATACGTACATACACACTAACACAACACATTTATCAGACATGGACACAGGAGGGTGCATTTGATTGTCCTTTTCCCAGGAAATGAATGCATTGCTGGATAAATTCTCCGTCTTTGTTTTTTTAACTAAACAACCCCCACCCACTCTTGTACTGTATATGTCTCTCTATTCATCATCCCACTGTTCATTCTCATAAGCCAAGTTTTAATGAGGACTACAAACTCTGCGATCATGCTGAGTCAGAGTATTGCTTTTTCTCTCTTTGGATTGTCCTTTCCATTAATCCATCTGCTCATAATTCATGTCTTTCCCTCTTCCCTTTTCAGACTCCCCTGTTTTCTGGTTTACATGCTGACCCTTCACACCTCCCTATTTTTACTTTGTTGCATTGCCTTTGAGTGGGGACTCATTATGGCGAATAGATAGCCAGTGTTCATGAATGTGAACACATTGTCAAAAATGAAAAAGAGAAAGCTAAGGCTGGATGTGGGTGTTAATGATCTTTTAGACCATTAAGAATCTTGTGAGCATTGCTTTGTTGTCAGGGGGAGGGGGTGGGGGGTGTTCCAAATGGTCCATTGATTTCTGGCGTGTGGAGCCTTTAGACACACACACACACACACACAGACACAGAGAGACTGGGAGGCTCTGTGAGGTTTAGCAGAGCCTGTCTCATCTTCCCCTGTCTATCCTTTAAGCTGTGCTCTGCTTTCTCACTAAATGCATGGTGGACTGCTGGGCTGCCCTGGCAGAATGACAACTAAGACTTGTGAGAGCAGGGCAAAAAATATCTCCCTGTGGAGCTAGCAGGTAGCACACCAGTGCCATGCAACACCAGCTCCAAACATTTCTGTGCAATTAATGGCTGCAAGGTAGCGATCTAATACTGTACATCAGTGTGCAAGAACAGTGGAAAGTGAATGAAATGAGAAATAATTAACTGCTCGGCCTGTTTTCCTGTTGGAATATGAATAGACAGAAGTTGTCACAGTCATCATTAGGCCATTTATATGTTCAGTGGGGATTAAAATATAGCCAACCGACATGTATCAGCAATACTAACTGCAGATAGTTTTATGGTTTTTTTTGGCCTCATAGTGCTAGATGTTATGTATATTTGTTTTTTGTTTTTTTTGCTCCTTTGCTTTTTCTCACTGAAGCACCTCATTTCTTAAGCCACTCCACTTCACTGCCTCCACAGAACCAATTCCCAGCCTTCTTGTATCCACACAGCCTTCTGTCCCCATTAAGGCTGCAGGAGAGCGGCAACTCTGCTCAGGTCTCCAGTGGTCGTAAAGTGACAGAGCGGACTCATTATTGTGTGGAGCTGGGGTATCTATACTACAATAAATGAGAGGGACACTAATGAGATCAAGCACACTACGGAGAGTGTGTTATACACTCCCTTTAAGTATATACTGTGGTAGTAAACTGTTGTAGATCAAGACAGGCTTCTAATCAATTGGTGGTAGAGATGGCGACTTGCAGTAGCTCTCTAATGAACTGTTAAGTCAGTTTAGAGAGGTTAGCTGTAACTGAGGGAGTGGTCTCATCAAATCCAGACTCTGTTGTTTAGAACAGATTTTGCTATGTACTTATTGTCACCACATCACCTGATAACCTCTATGTGTCTATGCCTTGGACAAAGAGACAGCTAGAGAGAGATTCAGTGGAACACAGACGAGTAATTAGGTAGCTCTCCTCACACACCCCTCACCCTCCTCCATATCTCCCAGAGGGGAGAGGAGCCTAGTCAAAGCCCCATCATGAATTTTTAACAACGGTGTATGTCTGCTCTCTTAGGAGGTGTGTGTGGATTTGCAATTGCACGTTCATGTACAGTAGGTGTGAGGGGAAAGAATTTTTTTGATATTCTCCATTAATGTCACTAGATGTATGAAGCATCAGGTACTGAACAGCTGTTGCTGAGAGAGAAATCCAGGAGCAAAGGAGAGATTTGTAGTCAATGTCCATATCATGCACCCTTGTGCTGTACATGTGTGCTTCTGTATGCATTCGCAATGGCACAGGCTGTACATGTGTGCTTCTGTATGCATTTGCAATGACACTATGCATTTAGCAAACTGAACAAATTTTAAAAGGAGGCCTGGATTTATACATACCTGCTAAAGCTCAGTTAACATAATTGGATGATATGAACTGGCTGTGAGGTGTCCCTGACATTAGCCGACATTTGTTATTAGCTTAATAACAAGACCTCTTGTACTTGGGCTTTTTAGTGTGGATATGAACTGATGCCCCTGTTCTCCCATGGGTGGCCTGTTATTATAGGTTTAAATCCTTTTTCGTTTCTTTTTTTTTTTTTTTTTTATGAAACACTTTTGGAATAAAAATGTGAATAATCAATTTTATGCTTATAATTATTGATATGAAAATACACTGTACAAGCAATCTTGTACTGAGTAGCACATGATTCCAAGCTGAAAGGACCTACTGCCCTTATTCCACATGGAGAATCTTATGGATAACAAGACACCAATTATCGATAGGCATTATGTGGCCCCAAATCAGATATACATATTCAGATTTGTTATAAAATAGCTATGTTTCAATTTGAACCCTTGATTCAGATGTAAACTTCCAGATGAAATCACAGAAATACTTTGATGAAAGCAAGCATCGGCACTAAGAATCAATGGTATAAATGGAAAACATATAAACAAGTACACAACGCAGTGATAGAACATACTATTTTTTGTACATGATGAACATGTTTAAAGCTTCATGATCACTATTAATGTAAGGGTGCAAATGTAGCTGCTGACAGCTAGTGCAGAGGAGGTGGAGACCGGTCTGGAACAGAGCCCAGGACTTGAGGCCAAAGGTGTAGGACTGTTGATCAAGAATGGAACCATTGCCAACAGCAGACACATGGTCACAGACATACTCATTTATACCCACACTCAGTAAAAGCACAGGTTGACATACAGTCTACCATTATCATCAACGTGTCACAAGCATGCACAACGTTGTACATTTCAACACATATGTACTGTAGGTCTCAGAGAAAGATTCAGCTGTAAATACACTTGGTCACAATTTTATAAAATTGTTTTGAATAATTAAAGCACATCCGTGAGTGGAATTTCTATAAGGCTGCTGTAATCTTGCTGTTGTGATGGAAGTAAGTCAGACAAGTGGGCTGTCATTAACCTGTAGAGTTAGGGCCAAGCTAAGGTTTGATCACTGTGGAGATTCCCAGAGCTGTGCAATAGTGTTTGTTCAGGTTTCCTTCTCTACCTGCTGCCTGCCTTTGTAACTGTTCTTTTATTCTATGCCCTTACCTTTTCAGTCTTACTGCCTTGGTAGTAAATCTTTGAGAAATATCTTTAACATTGTGTGCAATAATGGTTAAATTATTTCACACACCAACTATAAAATATTAAAATATCTCTTCCTCTTCCTACTTTTCTATATGCCATGGTGCTCTCGTTAGTGTTTTGCCCTCTTTTTAATACAAAGGGAAAACAGATGATTGAATCAAACTGTGAATGATGGCAAAGAAAGCCAGATGAAGCTTTGAAAGTATTATGTAATTGGAAAGCAATATCTAAATGTGTCACAGTTAAGTTCAGTTCTAAACTAATGATGTTCCAGTAATAAATTCATACTTCCCCGGATGTCTACGGAGCAGTTAAGAATGTAATTCGCTCTCAGCGTGATAAATAGGTGCACTTTAGTCTGTGTTTGCCCTTTTTGTTGCTTGTACTGTGTTCTAGTGCAAAAATAAATGACTTTTTCTCCCTAGGTTCTCAATACATGTGTTTACATGTGCATCATAGAGAGATGTGTAGAGCAAAAATCAGGTTATGTTTATACCCCCCTATTATTTAGTAGTATCTCATTTGACTGACAGTCTCTCAGCTGGAAATCTATTTACTCTTGACTTTATTCAATGGTCTGCCAGTTCTTACACTGTTAAACTCTCTGTTTCACTTTCACACACTGTCTAACTCACTCACACATACAGCACACACAGACATTACACTCCTACAGTACAACTTTTTCATTCTGACATTATGACACTCTGTGGTGCGGCCTTTAGCGGACACTGCTGTAAGACCATGATAGCTCTGTGGTTTGAGCTCTGTCAGTGAGACCGTTATCATTTCTCTCTGTCTGGGATGGTCTCCAGTGTGCTTTTTAACATACTCTCTTTTGCTCAGGCTGTCTATAATTAGACTGATGCTGTGATGGAGGCATTGCACGATTTCCAATCTAAATCCTCGTCATAATTCACTCCACAGAAATTGGCCACAGCTGCTGAGAACTTCCAAATGGAGCATCAGTGGAAAGATGTGTTTGAGGTAACAGAGGGAAACAAAAACACAGACATATGCTTACACACTGAAACGAATATGCATGAGTATTTTATGTGTGTATATTATATGGTGTATGTGGGTAAAACACAGCAAGATACACAGACACACAAACATCAATGATCGTGCTGGATTTACTGGCCATAAATTCATTTCATTTTCTGATTAGGTTTAATCTCTTTGCGTCTGTGTGTTGTTTGCAGTGATTACAGCTCCACTGGTAAATAGGTTTATTGCACATTACACACTGTGTTATGACTCATTATGCCTCTCATTACAGATGACAGAGACTTTGCTTTCAAAGAGCCACAGCATTAGATAATTATAACACAGAGTAAGGCGGTGGTCAGGAAAAATACTTGTCACAGAGACACTTACACTGTATATGTGTCTGAGCTGTGAATTACCATATTTCTTTCTCAGCAGCAGAAAAATGCTTCCCCGGAGCATCGATAATGGCTGTAGGCACCTACACACATGTAAAAAGAGGAATGGTGTGCACATTCAGTTTAACTCATGCAATATTCATTTAGCTGGTAGCACATCCAGTGTTTTCACCAACATTAAATGGGAGAATTAATTAATAGAGTTGCCTGATACAAAAAAAAGTTTAGAAATGGATTAAGTATTCCATGACTAACTAAATATTATGCTTCTTTGTACAATACCCCAAAGCATCCACAAAGTGATATTTGTGCTTTTGTACGACTTGTTTACAGGATGAAGAAATCGCCTACTACAATGCAAAGGACAATGTGAGTGTGCCCCCCCTCCCCCTCCCTCCATTTTTGCTCTCCTTCCCTTTAAACCCCTGCAAACACACAGGTCGCATTCAGACATTGGTCACTAATATGGTTTTGCTACACAGCATTGCCTTGTTCTTGCCCTCCCTTTCACCTCCTCTCCTCCATTTTTCTTCTATTCACTACATTCATGTTTTCTTTTTCCAATCTCGCTTACTATCGTCTCAGCCTTTTACTGCAATCCCTCCCAATTTTTCCTCCTCTCCAGGCTTCATCTTGCCTCCCACCCTCTCTCAGGTGAAGAGGTTTCTTCCATGTTTCTCCTCTAATTGACAGATGAGATGTATGAGCGAGCTACACTGTTGCTTTATTAGGAAGCAATTGTTCGCACTCTCTCTCCCCTCTGTTGCTTTTTCTCTTTCCCACTCCACTTTCATCACTCCTCTACCCTGCATTCTTTCCTCCATATCTCATCATACTGCTCTTCATATATTCCCCTGTCTGGACTGCTCTCATTGATGTAAATTGGTGAATGCACGGCAGGAGTTACAAATCTCCACAAGGGGCACAGACAATCTGGCTGTCTCCTACTACTTCTCTCAAGTGAAGATAATAAAAATGCAGGAAAAAAAGTTATCATCAAGCATACAATCAATGATGCTACATATATTTTCTTAAATGAGTTGAGAAAGTCACATCAGCACTCAGGAGTAGATGAGGATCTTCTGTATAGTCAGACTGACCTCTGCTTTTAAATAAACCCACAAATGTTTCATGCATGCTATTATGCTTAAAACAAACAAAATAAAGTGGCTTGGTTTGAGATCTTGAATCTACAATCAGCATTACTGTCTGCATCTTGATTTTTTTCCTCCCCCCACAGCTGGATGTAAATGAGACAGAGGGAAGGAAATATAGAATTCGACCAGACTTTAAAGAGGACCCGGCGTTTAAACGTTTGACTGATTACAACCACACAGCTGTTCACATCCCTACTGACATCTATGATGGCTGTAAGTACACGCAGTCAATAATACACAATTAAATGTGCCAACGAACTGGAGATCATTCTTATGGAAGCTCAGTATACGAGTTAAATAATGCGTACCCTAACCTTGGGTACACATTATCAGGCATCATAAATATTCAGAGCCAACAATAATGTACGCAACACCATTTTCCAATCCTAACCTAAAAACAAAGCATCCCTGAATCCTATCCTTACCCAAGCAAAGAGCCAGTATGTTGCTTGACACACAGTATCTGCATTGCATTTGCTCAGGTTAAGCAGTGGCTGGCCTGACTGACTTGGTAGGCAATCACATCAGACATCCAGGCCTGCTCAGTTGTCCAGCTGTTCTACCAAAATTGTCATTCATAAGAAAAATACCCTACTAAACAACCCCACTGAGTCAGTAACTATATTATCACTGACACAAAATCTGTGTTGGCGCAAGAATGAAGGCAAGTCCACAAGGTCAGGTGGGAATCCTCTCACTAACCAGTGTTTCATTGAGTTGAGCCCACAGCACCAAGAAGGCTTAACAGTATGTTCCAGCATCCCGCTTTGCCTGCACCCACACACCCAACACATCCCTTTATCAACATCTACTCTCAATAATTCCGGCAACTACCACACAGCAAACATTTCAAATGCTGTCCAAGCTATAAAACATTTCAGATAACTCACCAAATGTTTCAACTAACCCAGCCAAACCTCTGCTTCCTTTTGTACTACATCAGAATCCACCATGTGTTACTAATCACTCCAGAACAACAGTCAAACTTCTAATATATTGTCGTGTTAGCTTACTCAAGCTAACACCAGGAAATAGGCCTCAAGCCTGCCATATATATCAACCACTTTTATTAAGCCTATCCTCCTCAACTAGTTTACTTCAGGCATAATTTACACATATGATGTTTACAATTTATTCAAACTAGTTACCTGTCTTGCACACAAGTCTTCTGCTCCAGAGCTACTCACTGAACCTTGCTGCACTATCAGCTAAACTCTTGACTTCTTCTTCTTATGATGTTCATTGGTGGTTTGCGAGCCAACTTAAGGTGCATTACTGCCACCTGCTGAGCTGGAGTGTGGAACAACAATAGACTCTTTGTCTTAGGCCCCACCCATTTATACCCAACTCACATGCACACACGCACACACACACCTATAATACATATCTTAGTAGCAAACATGGATTGAACTGACAAACCAAACCACTTATGAATTGTTTTTTTTACAGATCATGCCACTAACAAATTTGCCAGAGGTTAAATATTTCCAGTTTAATAGAGTGGTTTAGAGAAGTGATACAGTATAGAGTAATATGATCTTACCCTATACTATATTGTCTTTTGGCTGTGTATCATTGGAATGTAACAGAACAGAAGGTCCTCTAATGGAAATTAATTGATGTGTGTTTTTCAAACCTCCAGAAATGAGTGTGGCAAGGCTTTTTTTTCAGGAAAGGTTTTGATAATTAGTCTTTTGATTCAGTTTGCACATGTTTTTACACATGAGGTTTTTAATTAATTGCATTCAAGCATAATATAGTCATAAATAAAAGTTTTTACTGATATGATTTTTTGCCGGTAATCTCACATAATTTATATATATTGTCCAAAGCTCTTCTGAGAGTAGAAAATACATTTTTATTTAGAAATGTGTTTTTGTTTATAGTAAATAAATTATTTTTACTTACTTATACTTACTGCTATTACTTTATACTGTGACATCAGACAAGGCAGCCCAACATTTTCCCTTTACTACATCCCTGGTTGTGATAATGAAGGTGATATATAAACTGCTGAAATAAACCAGTGCACTCATCCCATTGTAATTTTATAACCAAATAAGGGTCGTTTCATTGTGGTGTTATGAAAGAGTATGTATGTGTATGTGTTTTCCACTTTCATTTGTCTGGCGTAGTCTATATGAAAAACTATTTAGGATTATAATGAAACATATGTGCATCTATTAGAGTGTTTGCCCTGTCTTTTAATAAAATATTTCTGCTCATTTCATCATTATGTAGTGGCATTTACCTTCAGTGCTTCAGAATAATTTGATTCCCTAGCATTTCTCTGATAGCACAGCTTAAGTTGAATGTCAATGACTTAAGGATGGTCTCTTGAATATTTTAACTGTGGTCTGAATAATACATTTTATTTGAGCAGCTTTCTTTTCTTCAGTTTTTACATTGGAAGAATTTTGGGAATGCTTTTATTACAGCATGACTTACAGCGAGAGAGCAATAAAGTGTTCAGTGCCTTGCTCAAGGATACTACTCCAGGACTCAGTTTTAACATGAGCCAGTTACAGAATGGTTTCTCTAACCACCAGGCTGCACTGTTCCTCCTTTGGCCTGCACTTGTGTATTTATTAATATTATTATCATTATTATTGTTTGTGTGCATGTGTGTCTGTCTGAGACCGTGTATTTTTTTCCGTCTTTGTCTATGTGTTTAGTAATTCAGTAATTAGCATGTGGTGGGATGTGGTGCATCAGCAATGACTTGGAGGGACAACAGAATGGAGTTCTTCAGCATGGCCCTCAGCCTGCTGGGGAACCGTCTGGCCCCAAGGTTATGCCCTTCACCTTTCTGCTGACCCCACGCTCTTTATTGGTGGTCTGTTATGAGTATGCAGAGATATGCTGAGCTGCTGGGAACTATCCAGGACTGAAGTCTAATCTGAGCGAGATGAAAGAAACTATGTGTGAAAACTCCAAGCTGCTAGTACACTACCATCGCGGAGACCCGTTTCTGTAATGGGCACTGAAAGGGCAGTCTCCACAAGTTTATTTTAGTTTCAGATGAGGTTTTAGTATTTCAGTTAAAAATAGTTAGGCTAGATTTAGAGAAAGGGCTAAGATAAATAGTGCTGATGAACAACAAATGTGCTACCTACATGAATAGCAAAAAATACTGTTGAGTGTGCATAAACTCCTACTGTGCCAGATATGGATACACATGCAGGAGTATGTATTTTGTATGCTTGGACTAAAAAAAAAAGAGAGAGAGAGAAAAGAGGCAGAGGATTCATATGTTATTGAGGTTTCAACTCTCCAATTTGATCTCCACCCTATAAATGTTCCAGGAATAGCCTTTGCTCAGCTGGAGAAAATTGGATTTTCTGGTTAAAGTGGGAGGCAAGTTTATGAAATCACCTTCTACAGGCAGCACCACTTCACATATGTGAGATGAGCGTATAGGAAACAAACATTCAGATGACAGAAAGATCACCACAAAAGCAACATCTGCTGGTCCAAAGAAAGACAGTATATGAGCTGGGGAGAAACAGAACTACACAGTGTGATAGACAGATAACAAAATGGTTAAATTCAGTGGTGTTGGTTCAGTGGACACAGTTAATGATTTCAACCAGTATATATATTTCACACCTTCAGGATACAATGCTAGATAACAAGTTGTCTCTTCTTGAAGAAAAGGACAAGATGACAAAAAAGACAGCCATGCTCAGCCAGATAACAATAGAGAGAGGCATTGAAGCTACTGGTATAATACCGTTTAATGTAGGAGGAATCCAGTTCTTAAAATTTAATTTACAGAAAAAAAATTATCAGGCTGATTTGGTATGACATTATCCAAAGAGTTTCATCATTAAAAATAAAATACAATTTTTTTAGTTGGTACCCTGTTACTGACAGCCTTGTACCTCCAGACTATGGACCAGTATAATGTACACACCAGCCTATGCTGTGTGTGCTCTGCCACTACTCTTCTTTGACTGCAGTATCACCCTGACCAGGCTCCACACCTCTCTGCTTTCCTATGGTAACCTTCCCATCACAATCAGCTTACACTTCACTTTTTTTAACAAAAAAAGATATGATGATTGTTTAGGTGTATAGGGATGTACTATGTATCCTTATTTAAAGAAGTGTAAATATATATTCTTTAATGTTGATACGAGATAATCTCTATTTCACTTTCACACACTGTAACTCACTCACACATACAGCACACACAGACATTACACTCCTAACAAAGTGTAAATATATATTCTTTAATGTTGATAAGAGATCATCTCTATTTTTTGCTGAATTATGTTGCACCCCTGATATCACCCACTGAGATGAAGTCATCACTAGGTGTAGATTCAGTGTGGCATCAAAGCCATGTCAAGTGCAGCCAGGGATTTCATTAGTGTCAGTGGCAATATGAGAAACTGGAGGATATGGTATCCATTATGAAGCAACAGTAGAGTTTAGCGCTTTATTAAATAGTATAACTCAGGAGCACTCAAAACCACTGGAAACATTAAAAGGCAACATATTTGATTTGCTGTTTTAGCACTATAGACTGATTTGTTACCCTAAATCGGGGGTCTTCATTTAAAACTCGGGAGGTCCAGTCAATTAATATCATCCCAAGCTGAGGTCCGGACTGCTACACATCAACATTTTCACAGTGCTTTCAACAATTTTAATATGACACATTTCACGGTCTGGATAGAAACCTATTCGGGTCTGGATTTGGACTAGAGTCCACCATTTGAGTACCCCTGCCCTAGATTATGTATGTAATTTTGCTCTTTATATAGCTAAATGGCAATTAGTTAGCCTGTAGATAGCTATAACCATAGTATTTACATAATATATGTCAGTCTTCACTACAGTTTGTAATTTTCTCATTATCTAAAAGAGGCTGTGGTTTTATTCCCCTTCCCTTTTCCTTTTAAAATTATACAGTTTACGAGAGAAATATATTACTGTGCTGTGCACACACATTGCATGTTCTCTCTTGCTTTCTATAATAAAAAAACATGCACTCTTGGCAACCAAGGCTTCATTAACTCTCCCCTCTAGAGGCATGTATGCAAATGAGCAGTGTTTGCTTTGCACATCAATGAGCCATGCCACACTCAATGCAAGATACCAATCTACTGTATCTCACACATATGCACACATGCATACAGAAAGACACACATACTGTACAGATATATGAGTCATACAGTACTACATCAATACACAGAAATAGGAAAGAGTAAAGGAGTGAAGGGTAAAGAGGAGCGTTAGAGGGACAGACAGAGCTGGTGTAGCATGTGCTGTGTCTCCATCCATCATAGTGAGTGTTATGCGGCTCTGAGCTGTCATTATATCCATAATGTCTGTTGCCTCTCACAGCACATGCTATCAATCACACACATGCACATATTCAAAGAGCCCCCCCCCCCACACACACACACATGTTATCGAGTACTTTGTGTAAAATTAAACACTGTTTAATTTTTGTCAGTGCAAACCTCCTCAGTTTTTGTTGCTAAATACTGCTGCTGGCTGGGTGTCCTGGCTAAATATTTGCTCATGTCTCCCAGTGGGTGAGTGGGCTGACACTGAGTGGACCTGTGTGTGAATCTTATTGAATGTTAATCATGGATATCCACATATCTATGACAGTCTACAATGCCTTGCTTATGTTCACTTCTATGGCCCTCAGTCACTATTGGACTAAACAATCTCATCCATAAATATTCACAGTGTTGGGATTTTAAAATCTGATTACAATAATACAGTGGACTTTGTGCCTCTCTGTCCCAGACAGATGTGTCTTTCCAGTATATGTTGTCTTTTGACATGTACATTTGTGTATATGTGTGTATTGTGTATCTATGGATTTCTAGCCACTATTGTGCTGAATGAGCTGAACTGGACAGAGGCACTGGAGGATGTGTTTAGAAAGAACAGGGATGATGACCCGACCCTTCTCTGGCAGGTGTTTGGTAGCGCTACAGGCCTGGCTCGCTACTACCCAGGTAAAAAAAAAAAGGCACATCCTTTCCTACCAAATTGGAGATGCACTCATCAGTAAAGTATTATTTGGCTGACCTAAGATACAGCATGCAGCTTTTTATCATAACTACAAACAGCCAGGGAAAATATCCAAGAGTTTGCTTTATTTATGCTTCACTGGACAAACACTGTAAGCTCAATGAATAATTTCTTGGGCTCAGCTTGCACTGATTTTATATGTGGTGTACATGGTGTCAGAGTAGCTTTTAGCTGCATTGGTCTAGTGCTGTTGTCTGCTGTGAATGTTATCTATGCCATGCTATTTTTATTCATGAGATTCCTTGTCATCATTGACTCTGTATGACTATATGGGAAAGGTTTTTGTTTAATATTCATGACATTTTATTGGCCCTGCATTAATTTCACCTTACTCCTTTTTTTTTTTAGCTCTTAGCATGCAGCTACACACTCTCATACTGGCTTGTTTTTATTGTGCCCCTCTGTAATAACATACAAGCAGCTGATCACACCATAGCAAGTGAATCCAGTGTTTGCATCTCTGATAAATATTTTGTTCTATTTCTCTGCTGTTTAGCTCTTCATGAATAATTTTTGTGAACATGAAACATGTTACAACATAGATGGTGTGAGAAATGTTGTATTGTATCCCACAAGCCAACTACCATTATGGCACAAATGTAACCTTTTTTTTGTCCTCCCAAAATGTAGCCTTTCTTATCTACACAATAAATGACTGCAGTTCCACACTGCATGACACCGCATATTGCCATACACTGTATTTGCAGATCAGCACCTCAGTCTGTCAGCCAGGCGTGTCAGAAATCAGACCAAAATAGGATTTAGTATTTTATTTATTTTATTTGTAAAGAAATTATAAACAAAACACAATCTCTTCCCAAAGCCTCTCCCTGGATGGATCCTCGTAAGACCCCCAGTAAAATTGACCTGTATGATGTCCGCAGGAGGCCATGGTAAGAAAACTGGCACAAAATCAGATGAAAGAAGTGTAATAGGACAATGTTGATCAGTATTAAGGCCTTTTTTTATATTCAGGTGTATTAGTGACTGTTTACAGCTTAATTTTATAGTTTGGATGTAGGCGTTTGTGACTGATTGAGAGTTTTTTGTGATGAATGCTTATCTATGGAACAGGTTATTGTAGTGAATATTTGCTTACATTTGCCTTATTATGAGATATTGACATCCAAACACTTTTCTTATTAATATACTTTAACAATATGTAACACACTACAAAATATGATTCAAAGTATAGAAGTAATATTGTGTTTTCTCATAGTAAATCATTTTGTAATTTATTGGCCTTCAAAATTTAACTGCTTTTCAGAGTGTCCATGTCTCAGTGCAGCTTTTCTTTTTATTCATTAATAACCCATCTAGGTACATTCAAGGAGCTGCCTCACCCAAAGATATGCTAATTCTTGTAGACGCGTGAGTTTCACCTCATTGATTCATCACCTTATCACATCAGTTAGAATTTCCTCTGATTATAATGCATGATCTTCCAGATTTGCCACATAATGCAGTGTATTTCCCAAGACAGAAGCATTTCTAATTACACTGAGTAAATTCTCACCGGACAAGAACTGAGCAGACAGATTGCAGTGAGAAGCTGTCAGGGTTTTTTTTATTTATTTATTTTTATTTTTTGTCTTGCAGGAGTGGGAGTGTATCTGGCTTGACTCTCAAACTGATCAGGACCTCTGTCAGTGAGATGCTAGAGACTCTGTCTGATGATGATTACGTCAATGTAGTTTATGTGAGTATTATTAAACCTTTGGCTTGCTGAGTGCTGGGTGGTGTGTTTGCGCAAGGCGAGAGACTGTGAACATGAATGGGTTTGTGCATTTGCATCACCATTCACGTACACTGAGCTATGTATAAAGGAAGGCGTACACACGAAGATGTTACACCCATGCCAACAAACTTGCACATGCCCACACACACACTCACACAAAAGAGAGACAGAGAGATGGATGAAGTAATGAAATATGGATTTCTCCCACATCTGGCCACCATGAAACAGGCCTTTAATGAAATATCTACTGATCTATTTGGTGTACCAGATTAAAACCTTACATTACATGCCCCCACCCCACATCCTCAGTCATGTTTGTGTGCATGTGTATGTGTGTGTGTTCATTCCCACTGCTCTTAAAGGAATTAAAGCTGCACCTTTGACAGGAGTGAACCTTAATCTAACACTCATTCATCACCCTCTTGGTCTTTCCATCACGTTTCCCTTTCATTGAGTCATGTAATTCTTCTCAGCATTTCACCATATACCTCCATTCATCTCTTTGTGTCAATGAACAATCACCCTATACAGTGTATGCCTGTCTTTTTCTATACACAATATCACAGCTTTCTTCTTTTTGCTGCTGTACTTTCTTTCCCTTCATTTCTACTTTTCTCACCCATCACTTCCACCGCACGCTCTCTCCACCTTTCTTTTACAATCTGTTCTGGAAAGAGCCAATCAGAAGATAGTTTGATGTCTAGATGGGTGCCTGTGGAGGTGTTTATTGAGATGGGTCTTTATAAAGATTGGAGCTGTCTTCATTCTCCTTGCACAAAGACAGTGTTCAGGCTCTCCTTTTCCTCTCACCGGGGCCCTTTGTCTTCAATACAGTGTATTCTGTTTCACGTTGGACTTGTGATTCTGCAAAGATGTGCAATTATCAGAATCTGTTGGGGAGCTCAGTGAATGTGTGTATCAAAGAAAGTGAGGCAGCATGAGAGAGATTAGTTCAAAAAGCAAAGTCCAACTCAGTTTGGACTTAGAACTTTTTTGGTTTGTTTGAATTGTTGTTCTACTGTCCTCTTAAACTGCAGGGTCGTAGCTGCACATGACGTACATGATAACCAGATGTGCTAAGGGCTAAAAGGATTGTTTAAACTTATAACATTTTAGATTTGATATTTGTAGCTTTGGCCAATATTTCTGCTGGTCAATAGTATTGCTCTTACCCAAGTAATTTCTGAGCTATGAGAACACAGAGGCATTATAATAATGGAGGTCAACAAACAGGAATAGTTAAGACTAGTAGACAGAATGTGAGCAAGCCAACAGTTAGTGAGATTGTTCTTCATCTTTCGACTGTTCCACAGTTTCCCGGGGGAGTCGCCAAAGCAGATCACAATAATCTAACATGTAATTTGCCCTACCTGCTGCAACTCGTTCATTTTTAACTGGCCTTGGGACCGGCATGACGAGTGCACTGCTTGTGCAACCCCAGCAGCTGGACTTATCTGGGATACCCAGGTGGTCCTCCATCCCAGTACTATCCAGCTTCTGAGCACAGATGAGCTCAGGCACAACCAGAGTGTCATGGCTATCAACAATTTTGTCTGATTATCCAAACCAATTTGGTATAACTGAGAGCGAGAGCACTGGGACTGCTGGTAGAAATGCTTTACTGTGTGAGTGCCCAACCATGGCAAATTCAGTGTGTCAAAATTGATCAGAAACTTTTGTAAACTGCGATGGATGTTTAAAATAAACAGTTTGGGTCATAATTTTAATATTCACCCTATTTCCCAAATATGTTTCATTTGACCTGGGTAGTCTGTGCTGTATGTTCACATCATTACTCATGTTTCATGCTCCCACTCAACCTTTTTGTAGACATGCTGCCACATTTTTTGATCTCAGAAATGCAACCCAGTGAGCACATTATTACCAGTAAGATCGATATTTGAAGCTACAAAAAATAAGATAAGTTAAAAAAAAACATAAATATATCAATCAGCAAACCATAAATAAGTTGTGATCAATTTGTTCCAGATCCAGTAAAACAGATTTTTTTCTCTGTGTCACTTTCCCACTATGTTTCCATTCTTACTCATACACACCCACGCACACTCACCGGCCTATGTCTGGCCCTGAAGGTGTTGTAAACCTGACACTAAATCATTAATTTCTGATATTACTCAAAGCCCCCTCCTCATTAACAATAGCCCAGGGACTAAGTTGGCATTTGGTCATGGAAGATGCTCACAGACTTCCTCAACCGCTTCTGTAGGTCAAAGAAATGATGATAGATGTTTCTTTCATTCTTCCTTTCCCTCTCTGTCCTCTTCCTCTCATGTTTTGTTCCCAGTTTTGTTCTCATTTTCCTTCACCCTCCCACCTCACTCAGCCTCCATCACTTTTATCCACCCTGTTCAGCTGTGTTAGCCAATGTCAGTGCCAAGATCAGTGTAGCAGGCAAGCCAGTACCAAACCAGAGGAGCAGAGAGTCTAGTGGGATTAGGACTTGAAGATTAGCCTTCTCTCTTGTGTCATCACTAATCCATTCCCAAGGTCTGGACCACCGCACACAGATAAAAGAGCTGTTGTAATAGGATCACAAGGGAACAGTAGAATTTGTAGTAGTTAGTATTCACACAGTGCAAAGCCAATACAAATGAGAATGTGCTTTTCAGTAATCACACAATATGTTTTTTATTCATTTCAACAAAAATAGTATGCTTTTAATTAGTACATGTGTCACATGTATTAGGATGATTTTCTATGAGATACACTTCTCACTTTCCTGCATTAAATCCTGTATTCACACCCTCTTCTTTCTTTTTTTCTCACTTTCTGTTCCTCACCCTCCCACATTTTCGTCTCACCTTTTTTTTTACTTTTCCTTTTAATAGATCATGTGATAAAAGAGCTCCGTCTGCTTTATGTGGGCAGTTATGTGAACTTCCATTGTGTTTGTGTGTGTGTGTGTGTGTGTGTGTGTGTGCATTTGCATGTGTTTATGTGCTGTCACCTTGATTCAGTCTTTTTGTCAAAGCACAGCCTTCGTCATATTGCTTTGCAGTCCAGTCGAGATGTCTATGTCTGTTAATGTCAATCTGAAAGGAATTCCAAGGCTGCCAGGCTCATTTGAAACCCCCACACACAACCATACACACCCCCACACACACATGGTCAGGACTCTTGTTGCCTCCCTGCTTGTCTGTATAGATCAGTGTTTTTAGTCTCCCTACTAGCCATCACACAGAGACACATTGATTAGTTGAAATCAATGAGATGCAGTATTGTTTTAAAAGAGTTTAGCAGCACAGTAGGCAGACTGGTTTACTACTCAGCTGTCCCATAAATCGAAAAGATATTTAACAATAAAAATATGGACTATCAGTTTGACTGGGAGTGCAGCTCAGTACACTGTAGAGGGTGGCAAGATTTTGCTTCATGTTGGGTGGAGTTTGTATGCTTATGTGTGTTGCTGGGTGGAAATGAGTAGGTCTCACCTTTAAAAAAAGATGGTGTTGCTGTCTAATCTCCATCTTATATAGCAGAATCTTGTTTCCATGGGTACTAAATCGCTGAGCTCTGAGGATGTGAAGCAATTAGTGGGGCTTGATGAATGTGTCTGTTTACCACTGCCTGATAGCAGTCAAGGCCAGGAGGGAACCACTGCCTGATAGCAGTCAAGGCCAGGTGGGAATGTGTGCACTGCATTTTATAATTTGTTACATATGTACACATGCTGTAATTGTATGAATAACTTGTGGGTCATAACTCCTTGTCACTGTTTTCCAGTTTAACAACAGGGTGAAGAAGACAGCATGTTTTGACCATCTGGTTCAAGCCAATGTGAGGAACAAAAAGCTGCTGAAGGATGCTGTTCAGAACATCACAGCTAAAGGAATTACAAACTACACAAAAGGCTTCGAGTTTGCTTTTGAGCAACTCTCTGCGGTAAGATGTTCTAGTTTCCTGCTCTATGTTTTATTTTTTATTTAATGTTCTTTTTTCTCCCTTAAGTGTAACTGAGAGCACATGAGGCTTAAAAAGTTTTGAATGAAGGTTACCTTTGATGCCTCCATATTGTCAACAGCAGCAGAGTATTGTCTTCCACTGCCATCTGCTGGTTGAATGTGTTACCTTGGTTCAACTGTCCAAGCAATGACAAGATTATGAGACTGTTACAAATGAACGGCCACCACAAAATGGCAATGAATTTTTACAATAAGTCTAAGGTGTGATTATTTAAGACTACTGCTTACAGTTTTTATGTGATGATGGCATTAGATCAGACAACCCAAACAGCAAGTAAGTTACAGTTTAAGGCAGTGTGAACAGATATCTTTTTTGGTGCATATTTGTACATGGAAAAAAAAGGCAAACTGATTGTAAGTGTACTTCTTCTGTCATGCAACAGCTTGGGTAGTCATAATTCATCATAAATCAAAATCCTTGTACATTTCTTTTGCTTAGACTAATGTGAGCAGAGCAAACTGCAACAAGATTATCATGCTGTTTACGGATGGTGGAGAGGAAAGAGCTCAGGCCATACTGGAGAAATACAATGCTGACAAAAAGGCATGTAGTTAAAATGCAAGCACGCACACACACACACACACACACACACACACACACACACAAGGCCATATGATACTGCTGCATGAACTGTTTGCTTGTCTGTGTGGATGTGCTCCCACTGTAGTTTTTTATTAGACTCAGCTTTTTGAGCTTCCTCTGGGTTGAAACATTCATGTCTACATCCTCCTTACCCACAAGTTTATGCAGAAGGCAGATCAGGCCTTCTGCATATTGTGCGAGATAAGATATGCACTTGCACACACACACACACACACACACACACACATCCACATGAACATGAAGATAAAGGATATATGCTACATCACTGTCAAAGTACGCACAGCACAAAGGAACTATAACATCATATCATGTATGATGCATGATAATGTGTTAAATAATATTCAAATAATTTCCAATGCATGTGTTATATTATTTATTATTTTATGATGATTATATTCTAATCTAATAATCAAACTTGGAAACTAGGGACAAAACAATCATTAATTACCTTAAATTAATTTTAAAGAAAGAGAAAAAAATTGATTTGTTATCCTACCACAGTTGTGTTTGTCATGATTAACATTGTTGAATCTAATCATTTGCATCAGGTGAGGATCTTCACCTTCTCAGTAGGACAACACAACTATGATAAAGGACCCATTCAGTGGATGGCCTGTTCCAACAAAGGTACAGCACAGGCCATAACACACGTCACTACTGATTATCATCAGTTTGTTACACTCTTTAGACTAAGTTAACAGTAGATTAGATCACAGTAGTGATTTCAAATACATGTTATACTTAGTTTCAGACTACTCATACAGCACAAGAATCTTTAAAGAAGGCAGACTGGTGAAGTGATAATGAACATCATTTTAGAAAAAGTCCTGTTGTCTCCCGCCCTGCTTGAAAGGTTCTTGGCCAGATGTTGGAAATCTTAGCAACTGGAATACTGATGACTCCACTAATCTCCCTGTGGAGGAGTCTCAGGGGAGAAAAATGTTTCATAGGCAAATCAGCAAAGAACCACACATGCACATGTCTATTAACTCACCTGTCACTACAGATAAAGTCACAATGCAGTGGAATACGTGATCAATTTGTATCCTCTATCATTTGCAGTAACTTTTATATTTTGCCTTTTTAAAAGCTTTGTGTCTGATCATTTATGCAGGCTACTTCTATGAGATCCCTTCCATCGGAGCCATTAGAATAAACACGCAGGTGATTTTAGAACACAGTTCATTATTTTGCACATTTTCAGATTTTAAGATATGCATTCTGTCAGTATAGAAACATTAATCTAAGAAATGAGATGGTGTCTTTTGTTCATTTTAGGAGTACTTGGATGTCCTGGGAAGACCCATGGTTTTGGCAGACAAACAAGCCAAACAAGTCCAATGGACTAATGTGTACCTTGATGCTCTGGTATGACATCACTTTTGGTGTCTTATAATTGGCATAAATATTGTCATTACTACTGTATTTTAACATGTTCCAAGGATTCCTGAGCTAAAGAATGTGTTTGCTTGTATTTCCATCAGGAACTGGGTCTGGTCATCACCGGAACACTCCCTGTCTTCAATAAAACCACGACCAAAGATGACAGGAATGGCGAGGTGCAGTAAAATAAATAAATAAATAAACTGTAGGTGGAGCCAACAGGAGCAGGACATAATAATTATATTTATCATATCCTTTTTCTCTCTTATGCTTTCTTCTCAGCACCAGAATCAGTTGATTCTTGGCGTAATGGGGATTGATGTGTCTCTGAATGACATCAAAAAGCTCACACCACGCTTCACAGTGAGTTTAACTCTTATACGTGAGCACATGCATGGATGCAAATATATGTATTTAAATGTCATGTGACTTGTTCACTTGTGAAGAACTTGCTTAGTGATGTGATGCCATTAGGTCAAATCAACCTCAAATGCCCTTTTCATTAATTACAGCCCCTTTGTTGCATTTTATACTCATTTAAATAGCCATTACCAGTTGTCTTGCCATTATACTGTACATGTGCCGGCATCATCTGACGTTCTGGACACAAATATTTCCTTCATCTCTGTTCATCTTTTGTATTAGATTGGGCCAAATGGATACTACTTTGCCATTGATCCCAATGGATATGTCCTGCTGCATCCCAATCTCCAGCCAAAGGTATGACATGTGCCCCTGTGCGTTACTTGATCTAGCTCGACAGGCTCATGTCAAGCATTATATTAAACTTAACTATTTCACATGGTTGTACAATAACTGCTAGCACTCAGTAAATAATACACAAGCTAGTGGGTCTTTTCAAACTTTTTCATGTGCCATCACCTCATCAGTCTACATAAATAGATTCCATTCCCCAGTTAGAACATGACTTTACATCATTGATCAGACAACAGCTAGAAGGTCACTCATTCCCATGTGAGTTAAAATAAATATGTAAACATAGCAGAAAACTGGCATATACATTTAACAATGAATGATAAAAAGAAGCAGAGATACTGGCATGACAGAGATACTGTCTTTTAAAGTGAAAGTCACACACCCTTGAATATAATGTCATTTGCTCCACCATGACGGAGACAGTATATATCGCATTAATGCTGTCTGTACTTCTCGTTTAAGTAGTTGACGTTTTGAAAGGTATGATGTAGTATATTTTAAGGTAGCCTTTATAGCACTTATAGCTTACTTTTAACCTAGTTTTGACATTTTCAGTGCAATGTTAAATGTGTTTACAAGGATCAAAGCTGAAATATGAAGCAAATATCCACAAGTTGTTGTGTTAAAATTCCACCAGTTTTGTGCTGCCTTGGTCAACTTGCCAAAGGCCTAAGTAGTCTAACTCCTCATGCAAATGCAATAGAACTTCAAGTCACAAAAATTAGTCAGTAAAAATTTGCCGTGACCCCACAAGAGGTTCCAGTTCACCGTTCAATAAATCCCACTGCAGCTCTCTACCTCCAGCCTGAGGCAAGCAGGCTCTGACAGGCTACTTAGTGACCATGTGCTGCCCAGGAGTGAGTCTCGTTGTTTGGGGTTACAATGTTCAGAGCAGCAGTTCCCTGGAACACTGAAACACTGGTACCCAGGAGACACACTCACATCCCATCCATGAACCCACAGCTCTCCACAATCTAATCCATCAAGGCAAACACTTATGGAACCAGTTAGTGCATTTTAACTCTTTGTTTAATAGATATTATTGGTGTGGCGATTCACATTCTTCAGAGGCTTTAATATAAAACTATGACTCTAGGCTTCTGTAAGTAACATGAAATGAGGTGTTGTTAGCACAAAAAGTAGTGAAAAATTGAACTATAAGTAGTAAACAAAGATAAAAATAAAGCTGCAGTTGTCTTATGTACTTGTAAACTAAGGTAACTATGAAGTGCAGCATACTTGTCTACATGTACTGCAGTGGTAAGAGATACTATATATAAAGCAGTATTTTCTTTCTTACTAGATTAAAGGGGTTGTTTCCCTTATTTTGTGTCCCCTCCCTTCATTTGACCCAGACTGGAACACTTAATTCTGGTCAAAGCTGTGTGTGTGTGTGTGCATGAATAAAACTACTTTTCAGAATGGCTTTGAGCTACTGTTGGAAGTAACATGATGCACATGTAGGCAGCAATATAATTCAGACTTCCCACCCTGACAGTGTTACATTTTGCACATTCAAATGCATCACTATGCATCTCATTATAATTTTCCATAGAAAAGGGTTCCTAACAGGAAGCTAGGCTCAATAATAAGTATGCTGCGACTTTCCATGAGGTGAGATAAAGTAGAGGTAGTAGTATTGCAGACTGAATAAGTAGTGTCTAAAGGTAGTCATGTAGTTTTTTGCTTTATAGCCTCATATAGATATCATTTTCAGTAGCTATGGTAGCAATCACCATAGGTAACCACCACTTTTAGCAGGGGATATGGATTATGTGATCTGCAACCCTACTGTATTACTGATTAGGATTAGAGTGATGGCACTTTGTTGTGCTGCTTGTAATAACTGCTTTGGTCATGGTAGAAAATATACATGTGTATAAATGTTTGTAGTTGTGCACATGCAATTATGCTGGCATTATTTGTGACAGGGTTGATGATTTTGGTTTGCAGCTAATATCACTGATCTCTGTAATAGGTTTGGGGGGGTGGGGATGTCTGTCAGTCTCTCATTGTCTTGTCGAATTAGCGAAGTGGGAGATGGCATGAATACTAAAGGTGACCTTGGGCCCGTATGAACAGTTTCCTTGTTTCTCTCTTGGCAGTGGCTCTGTCTGTTTGATTATGTTTGTACATATTTCATATTCATTTCACAAACCTTGCTTGTTGCAATTGTTTTTTTATTTTGATCTCACACCCCTAATCACCTCAACAGATCTCTTGCTGACACATCATATTCTCTCTCATTTTGCTCTTCTTTTTCACTTCTTATTCCTTATTTGATTTTTCATCATTTGCTCCTCACACCATCCACTTTTCACAGTTTTCCACCTCTTCTCTCCCGTCACTCTTGTATTTGTTTCATGTTTCATTTTGTAACGCCCAGTGTTGTACCTCTTGATCTTTTATTCTTTCTTTTCTCATTTCCATGTTGGGATTCTTCATCTTCATCACCTTACTTTGCTGCTGGATTTCATTTCACTCACCATCAAATGTAAGGAACTCAACTCATGCCCTTTAATTGAATATTTCATTTATTGCTTTTTTGTTCATGTGCTTTCATGCTTCACACATCACAAATCGACAAGAGCTAAGTTTTTTGTGCATTCCTCTTTAAAACTGAGATTCATGCTAATTGAATTCCAGAGTAAGTGCTAGTGTATGTCAACATAAAAACAAGGAGCTGTGTAGAAAACACTGTATCAACACTAGTATGCTCTCATCACCCCACATTTTGAAAACACTGTGGGGGACAGAGTAGTATCAGATTCCATGTTTATAGTGAAGTACTTGATTACTGCTACCACTTTATATGACCATAAACTCAGACATGTAGGGCTTTAAGAAAGGACATTAGTAGAGTCTACTGTCACTTTGTATCAAATCTGATTCAGCTGTGTCTGGTGCTGCAGATAGACTGTCACACAAAAGAATACTATGGCTCAAATACACAAGAGGCATTAGTGTATATATGTTATTACTGCAATGGTAGTACCAAAATGCATTGGAATGTTCCTCTCAATGGCTAATTGCCATCTGAAGACCATCTCTGAAAGACAGCTGTAAAAAGGTCCACTGCATTTTATAACATTTTACTGTATCAAGTCATCAGACTTTAGATTAAGTTGTATGGATGTGGGTTATTGCGTAGTAAAAATTGCTTGCAGCTTGCTGGCTCTGTTTTGGTCACATTGATTCCCCTACATGCCATTAGGTTTGATTAAGTGTAGCATTTCATTTCAAACTGGAATATCATCCTTTCTGCAGAATCCTAAATTCCAGGAACCGGTTACTCTCGACTTTCTGGACGCTGAGCTGGAGAATGACATCAAAGTGGAGGTAGAGTATGCGGATACATGGAAACCCTCTCACCATAAACACACACATAAATTCAAGCTACAGAGTTGGATGTACATAGACGCAAATATCCAGGTACCAGATGTTTTTATGTCACCTCATAAAGCTGTCACCATCAGTCCCTGAACATGATTTATTTTGCTTCCCTAACTCATTATTATGAGGTGATCCTGCATGTTTTCAGATCAGATGTTACTCCGTCAATCATATCCAGTGACACTGGAACTATATGTATACTGTGTGTTTCTTCATCTCTCTATCTCTCTGTAGATCAGGAAAATGATGATCAATGGTGAGACAGGCGAACGCACCATTCACACTCTGGTGAAGACTCAAGATGAGGTAAGAGGAAATATTAGGCGGGTTTATTTCTCTAGAGTATGTTGGGATGCTTTTGGAAAGGTACCCTGTCATGCTTGAGTTCTGCAGCTGCATATTATGCATTAATGCTGCAAAGCTGCTCTCAGATGTTATAAAACAGATGCAGCATGGCAAAATTAACCCAGCACAGGACACAAATACTTGTTGGGGCTACTTATTATGAACAGAAAGAAAAAGTCTGTCAAGTAAAGTGTAAAAGCTATAGAATCAGAATTTGGACAAAGCTGTTGGTGGCATACACAACCCTTACATAAAGGTGCATTAACTAGGATTTTCCACATTGTCTGATAAATCAAGTGAAAATTAGACAGTGTTGCTCAACCATACTACCTTCCTCCACAACACACTGCTGTCTCATGTGGTCCTGAATGCCAGTTCCTATGTGTGTCATCTTTGGCAGCGGTATATAGATAGAGGAGTGAGGACCTACACATGGGCGCCAGTCAATGGAACAGATTACAGGTAAGTGAGCCATCTCAGCAATTTTGTTTGTATATTTTTTCCTAGTTCACTGCCACTAATGAGAGCACTCCAATTGAGCCAACAGGGCTCACTCTCATGTTTCTAACATCAGGCTCTACTTGATTAATAGGAAATACTTCTGCAAGATCCTTTTTGAATTTCACTGAGCACACAGAAAACCATGCTTTCCTATAAAACATGTAAAGTGTTTTTTTTTTCTATAGAAATGTCTTAGAATTAAAAACAACTGAAGCTTTGTGCTTCACAGTCCATTCTGGAAAGCAATGCACCGGTTGAATGAACTTTGAATTGGAACTTAGATAAGTTTTAGTTTTCCAGAACAAATTATTCACTTAAATGACCTCCAAATGCAAAATATATCATCATTCTGACTTGTCTTTTCTGCAGCCTGGCTCTCGCTCTGCCTAAATACAGTGAACATTTCATTCAAGCAAAACTGGGAGATGACATGAAACAAGCTATGTGTAAGTAAACCCTCATGATAAACAGTGCACAAACAAATCAAAAAGATTTACAGGATTTTTTGGTGCCTCACAACTCCCGTGCATACTTTCTTTGGGTTATACTCGAGTACGTTTTAGCTTGGGCCACAGCCACTCCTTTGTATTTGCTGCTTAGATCAGCGGATCCCCATGGTGCTTTTCTTTTGTAGTGTAACCCACTGGTCAGTGGCCCTACACTCCCACATAGTGTACACTCATACACATGGTTTCCCTCTCACAGCCTCAGCCTGGCTCTTTTAATCTTGTCAACATTTTGCTCTTCTCTCCTTCCTTACTCCTTCTGAAAACACCCTTACCTCTCATGTTAATCATACTCTAGACTTTACCCTTTTAAATATATATTTTGTGTCTAATTCTGTCTCTCTGCTTCCAGTTTTTCATGAGGTAAAGGCTGTCCAAAAAAAACTTTGGATTGCTTTCTTCTCCCTGTGATTCTCTGTCTCTGTTTTTAATCTACAAACCTGTCCTCACCTAATTTTCTTTATTCACGCTAACCTTTTTATTAATTCCCTCTTTTTTATTTTTTCCACGCCATCCATCTCTCAAGTTTGCCTGACTGGATGTTATGCTCTCTTTCTCCTAACAACTCAGAACATAGCTATTAGTTTCACAAGGACAAAACATGTTCATAAATGCACATATTGTACAGTACAAGCAGCTATCATTCTTTGTACAACTCTTTGCACTTTGATTCTGATGCAAGTTATTCTCTCCTGTCCTACTTCTATAATGGAATTTTACAGCTTCTGCTTGGGGCAAGTACACACTTTTCTGTGTCCTCTTGCCATTCAGTGCTTCTCCACTGCATAAGCATGTTTGTCATCTACATGATTGCAAGGTTACCCGTTAAACCATATTTAGAACATATATTCATAGGTGTGGATACTGTAGAAGGAAGCATGACTTTATGGAAACATGGGTCTCTTTTATCAAGTGATACAATTATTAGAAAAACACTGATTCAGCACATATCCATCTGGCTTTAGTGGATTTTTCATAACTTTGATGTGATGCCATAAAGCACAAACTGCTAATGGCGCAGTTACAACAACAGATGCGATTTTGACTGAGTGTTTTAGCCTCTGCATCACTCTCTCTCTCTCTCTGCTATAATGAGTCTGTAACGCTGCCATAAAAGCTGTCAGAGCATTTACAGGCCTGTTAAAGAAAGTAACACACCATGCCTGGCTGCCACAGAGCGAGTTTGGGACAGTAAAGTTCTCTGTACGGCTGTATAGAGTTTCGCTCTGGAGCCAGACCACCAATACCTCGATTCATCTTACCACTTTCCTGCAGGAGGTGGTTTCTGGAGCCACTTGTCCTAATACTTTAGGAAGAGTCCCTAGCCAAGGGTGTGATGGATGAACTTTGATTTTTTTTTATCCATATAGCAGAATGTTGTGTTTGTTGAATAAATGACGTAATTCTGAGGTTGAAGAGATGGTGACAAAAATGTAAAGAGTAAGGAAGACGAGAAAGACGGTATGGCGTGGAAAGCAACTGGACATAGAGACACCCTGCCCAGTCTATAGAGAGAGTGGAGCAATGAATCTGCCTGTTATGTTTTATGTGAAGGACATTGTTTCATCCTGCACCAGATTTTCATGACCCTGGGGAAACTCAGTTCTCAGTAATTGTTTTTGCAGACTGCACCACATGACTCACTATATTTTAAAGGCAATGTCCAAAATGTCTTCATTTTAAGAGACCAGTGAAAGATGGCCGTTGATGCCTGTCATGTCATTTATGAGATAGGAATTACCAGACAGCATCTGAAATGAAATCCAGAGCCAGAACAGACAAAACATAGAGTGGAATGAATTTTCTTTATTACTACTCTATGTTTACATTTTGCATGGCCGTTTAAGTCTATTACATCTAATATCAGCTTAGTAGTTTATCATCTGCTTTGTGAAATATCTACAATGTTCAGCATATTTTCCAAGCTATATTGGCTGATAAATGAGTTTTTATCACCTTTTGTCTTTTCTACTTTCTCCTTTCTTCACTTTTTTGTCCCTGGGGTCACAACAGGGCAAAGAGGCAAGTATTCTTTAGTTATTCTCTCCTGCCTCCCCCACTGAACCTGTATCCACACTCTCTAATTTACTGTAATCCATCACCTCATATCTGTCCAATCTTTTATGTGTCTGTGCGTGTTTGTGTACACATGAATTTGTCCGTTTCGCTTGAGTATGTGCTCTATTGTGTCCACGTATGGTCCACCAACATTTGGAATGATCATTCACTCGTCAAGTGTATCTGGATTCATTAGGCCATCTCACATTACAAACACCAGTGCTTTATCATAATAAACAAAGATCACATATTTGAGCACTTAATTTACCCACTGTGATCATGTATAGTGGGATACTTCATAATGTTGTCAACTATGAACCTAAAGCAGGTGGTTTTGTGTTTTTTAAAAAGCTATGGAGACTATACAGCTGGACAGGTTTGATGAGTTTGGTTACACCTACATTGCTCCAAGGTGAGTGATCCCATTAGTACTGTACAATGCACTTACGCTATACAGAAATGACACTGAAACTGATCAGCACTGTTTCTTCAGGGAATACTGCAAAGAGCTTAAGTTGTCAAACAACAACACCCAGTTCCTCCTCGACTTCAACCAGTACATTGATAGGAAGACTCCAGATGCATGTGAGTCATGCATCTTTTTCACCTGACACATTTGCTCTTGGTTGTAATGTCAATTTTCCACACTGTTGATGTTTGTGTATAATACCCCAGACCCACACAATGTTACCTAATACACAATACGTTGCTTTCTGATGTATGCAGTGATGAGTGTTTGGGAGTGTGTGTACTTGCATGGTATGTTTTTACTGTCAGCCACTGTGGAAACTTCCACTCATGATGGGCAGCGTCTGAAGGTCAGAGCTTGACTTTAGGTATTATAGCAGTGGTCTAAGCAGGGTGACATCAGCCACTGACTGAGTTTCCTAGAAGCCTGATGTGGTCATGCTACACAGTGACTCATGATGTTTGATTTGTCATCATCTAATGGATCTCATCTCTTAGTGTGGCATACCACCATTATGAGCTAATGGATCTAGGTATCCTTGATCCTTTTTAACCCATAGCCAAATGATCAACTTAGGAATTAATGACTTTGCATGCTGCTGTTTGTACAATGTGTTGTCTTCATAAAAAGTTCAGAAAATATGGATATGGTTTAAAACAACATTCAAGAAATTCTATGCTGAAACTGTATGAATACTTCCCTTTTGAAAAGTACCTTTCTTGACATAATACCTTAGCATCACCTCCCTTCTGACAGCCAATCCTTCACAAACACGTCCTGCTGCCTGAATGTCTAATGGTCAAATATTACCTACAGAACTGTGTCTTCCTACTATGTGATAGCATGTACCCAGGGAGGTTTATTTGAACACACCTGCTCATTTTCAGCACCTAAGTTCCACCTTCATACACTTCCCAGTATCTACTGAGTACATTGCTCCATGGCACTAATTCTAAGGCATACCTTATTTATTGTCACTACCAACCAACATGTTGTCACTGCTTCCATTACCATATACCCCTCTTAAGCAATGTTATTGTAAAATCCTTAATCCTTGTAAAATGTATCTTAGGTAACTTGGCCCTTGTGAGTCGACTGATCCTGGATGCAGGTCTGACAGCTGAACTGGTTAAACTTTGGAATGAGCAGCCAGTGTGAGTGCCAAGTCTCTCTGCTCTTCTCTGCTTTAAACATTGCCAACATGTAGTCTTCTTTTTTGTCTTATAGTATTTAAATGTACTTGTTAAAATGTTGCTTGTGTACACTGATACAGTATTTTGTAATACTGTAGATGATGCTTGTTTGATGCAGACTTTGCTGACTAACCATATCAAACTCCTGAAACATGATAAAAGCAAAGCACAAGATGCATATCGCACCCAACAATACTGAGCTCTGCTAAGACATGCTGTTTTGTGAGGGAAATAAAATAATTACATCAATGCTTTTTCTTTCAAAATATGCCCTCTTGTCTGAAATAGCATAAACACACACTGCAGAATATCTGTTTAACATTATGATATTTTGAGGCAAGTGACTCTGAGTGTGAAAATGTTTGTTTGTCTGCAGCTTGGTCTCACAGTTCACAAACACTTTTTGTAATTGTCAGTGTGATTGACTTTGATGTGTGATCGACTGTTGTTTTCCATGTTCTCAGGGATGGGACTGTGGCCAGGTTTGTAGCCACAGATGGAGGAATTACAAGAGTATATCCAAGAAGGTACTCTCTTGTCTTTCCTCTGACTTTCATGTTTAGCATTAGTTCTGACAATGTGAAGCAGCACAGCAAATATCTGGTGGTGAGAATGTGCGAGATGAAAATGGATTCCGACTGTAATACTTTTAGGTTGAGTGCTTTTGGCTGCTTTACTCACTTGCTCCAATAGGTTCTTTTTCAGAACATGGAGGATTAGACACTTTCAGCTGAGCTCTCCAAGCTTGTCAGACCAATACAGGACATGGGTCAAAACCAATAGCCCAGCTGCTAAATGAAGCAAATTTTACCTCACTGGTATTTTGTCTGAACTACATCTTGGGCTTCCACTTTGTCAGAATATAACATTCCAGTGGAAGATGAATGTATATTCCTGCAGACTCAAAGACATGAAATACAATCAGTTATTGCTTTTACTGGATCCCATCCTTGTCATATATCATCTGCTTTGGGTATGACTCAGCTTTGACGAGTAACATTTGCCTATAGATTAAAATATAAATTGTTCAAATACATCAAACATGGTTACCCTGTGTTTTATGACTGTAATGGTCCATATATAATATTACATACTATACTGATGTTTGCAGCGCTGGGGAAGAATGGACTGAGAATCCTGAGACATATGAGTCCAGCTTCTACAAGAGGACCCTGGACAATGAAATTTATATTTTCACAGCTCCATTGTTCAACAGTAAGTTTTATGAAAGGCTCAAATATGTGTATATGTGTGAGCTTTTCTGTGCATGAGGATCTTCAGTGTGGTCTGGCACTAAGCCTATCCTGCTCCTCGCCTTTGGACGTCATCCCAACCCTGCTAGCAAAGATCACACTCTCGGGCCTCTGATATCACTCTCTTTATCCTTCTCCTTTTCCCGCTGCGTCTTTAAGCGCTCATCCCCTCCCTCCCCCCCCCCTGCTCTGTATATTTCCTGTTATCTCCACTGATCTCTCTAACAGACATCGGGACAGGCAAATGTCAGTGTAATGTAGCTATGCCTACAGCTACACTTGACTGGATTAACACATGTACACAGACACCACTAACATAGGTTTCAAGCAGCTACAGTAAAAATGCATGGAATTCCCCACAATGGATAGCGATTATTCATCTTTAAACTGTGATTCACAATCTCTCTGTGTACTTGATTTCAGTTAAATCGCCATAATTACTGCTTCTCTTGTCTTGTGTATCACTTTTCAATTGCAGCAGAGGGCAGAGAGCCTGTTTCTGAGTCAGGAATTCTAGTGAGCAAAGCAGTGGATCTCACCATTGATGATGTCACGCTCAAGCCAGCAGGTTAGTCTTTGCTTATGCCAGATGAATTTCTTCTTGTGATTTGTTGAAAATGGAAAGACTCAATTCACTAATGTTGCACCTCTGCTTGTTTTATAATTGGTTCTGTAGTGGTGGGAGTGAAACTCAATGTCTCATTCTGGATGAACATTTTCATGAATGCTACTCTGAAACTGAATGTAAGGTGGATTTAAGTTTATTTCTATTGTATACATTATCTTTGACACTTTTAACCACTGATTTCTTGTTTGACTTGCTTTTTATCTTTTAGTGCAAGGATGAAATCTGTGGTTGTCTGAGGAATGACAAGGTATAGATTCATATACAGTTTATAGCTGTTGATCAAATCTAATCAGAGTGCTTTTTTTGCTTTTAACATAATATTTATCATCTGCACTATTTTTAAATTTTTTTTTAATTATTTTTCAGAAAAACATGCAACTAAACATTGTCACACTCAGTGAACTTATGCAGTGCATATGGGCCATCTAGCTAAAAGCTAATATGCAGCCCACTTCCATGGTTAGGCTTTCAAAAAGCAGGTTCAAACATCCAGTAACAAATTGCTTAGAAAAAAATTGCTTAAACCAAGACATATAAAACCAATCAACACTGTTCATTATAATATGTTTTGCCCTTATGCTACCAGCCATGTTAAGAATCTTTCAACAGAAAACCTTTATGACAGGACCTTTGCCTATAATGTTTTTATGTATTTAATTTTGATTAGCATCACTTACTAAAATGACTGCCAGATAATTTTCCATGTCCACATCACTGCCTGGTGGGTTTATTGCAGTTTTCATCTTTTTACCCTACAGCATGTGGACTGTGTGATCCTGGATGATGGAGGATTTCTTCTCATGTCCAATCAGGATGAGTATATCACCTTGGTGAGCTGCCTTCAACATTTTTCACCTTATTGTGACCATGTATGCTTAACTTATCTATTGCCTAATCATCAGTAATTGGTAAATCATCAAGAAGTTCTAGTCACATCGAGTTACACAGTCACATAAGCTGAAATCAAAGACCCTTCCAGCATTCATGCTTCCTACTTTTTTCTGCCTCTGGCTTCTCTTACCTCTGTCACAGGAATACATCTATCTCATATAGAGGTCAAATAAAGGGCTTATAACTCAGTTAAGTTATGAGAATGTCCCGTTAGTGCCGAGCTGTTTGAAAGTTCCTGCAGGACAACAGTACACTCATGTCTCCGGTAAAGCAAAGCACTAGCTATTGGACAAGGATCAAAGGAAAGGTTGTGGTGGGGTTTAGTCAGCCATGAAAGCTGTAGTGAAGTGAGTCCCTTGTGTATGAAAGAAGTCAGCTCGCCTGTGTTAACTTCACTATTTCAGGCTGCTATAGGCTCTCATGTGTCAGTGACAGGATATACAGTGGGTTTGGAAACATTTCATGTCACTCCTGACAGGACATCTGCTGTCTTTGATCCATTCTACCATCACAGTGTCTGGCATACAGCTTATGGCCTTCAAGCAGTTAGATAAGCACCCTCCAATCTCGTTTTTACCTCTTCTGATTAATTTAGTGTCCGTGGGGATCGTGCACATTTTTTTGGCTACCTGTGAGCAATAGTTATATATTATAATTCTATTAGCAACTTCATCCCCTTATCAGTACTCTATAAGACATTTCCCTTCATATTATCTTTGCTCAGTCGTTCATGTTACAACCTTTAAATTGGTCTCTTGTATCCATTGTTGAACATAACCTGCTGTGACACTTAAGAATCATACTGTAACACCAGCATCACAAGACACTGGAGCACACCACCACTCTCTCCCCAGCCTGGCAGCTTGATCAGAGGGTGAAATGCTGTTGTAGCGGCACCCTCCATGATGTAAGCATGACTGGCTATGTAAGCAAAGTGGAAGAGTGATGGGGTGACTCCCATCTTTTTGTAGTGACGACCACAAAACAGATAAATGAGCTTATCCTGATTGGCTAAGCTAATAAATGCAAATGTTCAGTGTAATGATGCTTATTTTATTTCTATATGCAGAGTTTTACACTGCTTTTACTGACTTTTGTTATTTGTGTATGTGTGAACTCATCCAGATAGGTCAGTTTTTTGGTGAGGTGGATCCGGTGCTGATGATCAACCTGGTTAACACGTCCCTGTATTCCTTCAATAAGACCTATGATTACCAGAGTGTCTGTGACCCAGAGAAGGACAGCAAGGCTGCAGCAGGGCCCCGATCCATCTATGTGGTTAGACATGCCTATTGCAAATAATTATTGTTTACACATTTATCCATTTTCAGTAGCTTACCCTTTATTTCACACACTGGTAAAGATGAGGCAAAGTTATAAGACTTAACTCTAGATTGTTTTGTTGTCTCTGATATTCTCTAACTCTACAGCCTCTTCTTTTTGTGATGGTAACATAAAATGGCTAAATGAAGAAAAAGTATGATTCATGACTAAATTGATTTTTCTCCCATCCCTACCTGCCTTTTGGTATTTTCTCTACATCACTTTCCTGTCCTGCTCCAGCCTACTATTGCAGATGTGCTCAGTATTGGCTGGTGGGCCTCCAGCGCTGCCTGGTGAGTGTACAGGTTGTGCGTATGTGTTTTAGGGTGGGAGTACATTTGTACTTGAGCGTAGGAATTTGTATCGGAATGGGGTTGTATGTTGGTGAGGGATTGGTCATTATAGGAAAAGGGCAGTTACACAATAATATACTGCATCACTACCTGCATGACTGTCCAACTGCAATGCAACCAGCTTTTAAAATAGAATGGCTGATACTTTCCATGGCATTTACATCACCAGTTACTCTATCCTTTGGCAGATGCGAGGTTGTTATTGAACCATATTAGGTTGCTCAGGGTAAATAAATTAAAGATGGTCTGTTGACTCATCCGTGTGACTTTTTCATTTTCTGTGTATAGGTCAGTACTTCAGCACCTCTTTTTTGGGCTAATGTTCCCCAGCCTTCTAGAGGCAGGTGAGCTACACAAGCTGTGATTGTTTGTAAAATGTCACTGTTATTTAGTGTTTTATTTATTTAAATATTTATTTATTTTTCATGGCATTTGGCTACAGTACCTGTTTCTCCATCTGACAAAATTTAATGCCACTTCCTCACTAATCATATACCATATTTTCTTTCTGTATTAAACCTGTCTCTTATTTTCAGTGGACTCAGCAGATGAAGACATACCAGATGCTATGTTTAAGGAAAGCTGTATCACAGAGCAGACTCAATACTTCTTTGACAATGATGAAAGATCCTACTCAGGTGTCCTGGACTGTGGGAACTGTTCCAGGTATGGGCACATTTCTTCAAGGAGGTGTATGTGTATTAATCGGGTCATGCTCCTCATCATGTCATGTCATGTCATGTCATATCTTTATTGTCATTGTACATTGTACAACGAAATTAAAATGCAATCCTTCGATAATAAAATAATCCTATGGCAGTGCTCCATTCGTACTCTAAACAATTTGTGTTATTAAAGATTTTTCACCTTATACTGTTCCTTCTTCCTGGGCATTTTATTTTACTGTTTATTGGTTTGTGGAAAAGGGTCCAGAATAGTGTTAGTTTCCTGGCCTTGTCTGTTTTCCACTCAGGCAGCTGTTTTCTGATGAGTTCTGATCAGACACAGATTACCTTGATCTGTCAGTGACCGGAATTGCAGAGGGAGGCACAAAGATCTCTTTTATCTGTTTCTCTTCCCTCACTCTTTGACTATACTTCAGGCTTACTAATATAATCATGGACCACTGCACATTTACTTTGCTCTAACCGCTTTTTGTGCCAGTTTGGTCTGTTTGAGGGGGTTAAATATGGCTGTAATTACTGGGTGTTATGAGTCCCACGTGTCTGGGACTTTAGTCCCCAATGTTAATGACTGCAGACACAGAAACATTCATGACTGCCATAGAAAGCCTATCCCAAGAGGAAGGAGGATGTATGCATTTCTGTGTACACACATATATTCTATACTCTATGTAAATGAAATCAAATGCAGTCAGTTGTAGGGGATTTAGTATTACATATAAATTGGAAAGACATGATTTTTTTTTGCACCGCAGGTTTATTATTATTGGATGAACATAAACCTTATAGGTTGTGTATGGTTTACATATGTGTGCGGCCACATGTACTTTCTAGGATGTATCGTGCTGAGAAGCTGCCAAACACCAACCTGGTGTTCCTAATCACTGATGCCAAGGCAACATGTTTGTCATGTGACCCCAGACCACTACGACAGGCTGAACAACCCTGTATCCTTTCACGGAACTCATAAAAAAACTCTTAAAAATGTACTCTCTGGCCCTTTATCTATCAGCCATATGACAGCAGAGATTTAAACTCTCAATAACAAGACACACACCTAAGGAGCTTCCCCCCTGAGTGCTCACGGGTGAACAGTAAACCAGATGCATGACATATGAAAGCTGGTTTCACATTACTCCCAGATTAGATTTCTTTGTTTAAATTCATCTGGGCTGCATGCTGCCATCAGACTGAATTAAGGTTAATAGCAGGGGTGAGTTTGTGTCTGTATAATATATGTGTGCATATGTCTTCAGGATTTCTGTTTGACCGATGTGTCTTGAATGTAGCTTCCTGCTGGTGTAACAGTAATCGTGTCATCATCCACGGGGTCACAGCAGGGGCCTCCAGTTGCTAGTAATGACATCACTGAACATACACAAGCATTGACACACAGTACAATACACACACATGCTGCTGTAGCACACACATACACAATATATTATGAGTCAGCACATTATTTAGCTGTTGCTGTTAAAAGTGTTAAATATGCACTACTGTTGGTAAATTATATTTTCCTGAAAGTGTCTGTTCAGCTGAAGGTCCAGATCCATGCGAGCTGGCTCAGAACCCCAGATACCGCAAAGGGCCGGATGTGTGTTTTGACAACAATGAAAATGTAAGAGACAACCACACATGTGCCTTTGTGCAGGGAATATTGCTGGAAACAGCTCAATCTGTGATATTTCACAGTTGTTCTCTATCAATTACTGTCTGGTTTTTGTCAGAATTGCGCTTTCTGCTTATATTCACGGCACTGCTGGCTGCCTGCTCTTCCATTCTGATCCGTACTTGATTTATTTATCTAGTTTATTTACTGATACACTTTTTTTACTTTCTGAACTCTGCATGCAGTTATTATTTATTCTTTTTATTTTTTTTTGCTTTATATGATCTTTTCACTCATCAGCTGTCATTCTTGTTTTATGATTTTGCATCCCAATGGCTGCTGCTCATGTCTGATAGGATGAGCCCTTGTGCCCGATCAGCAGAGGTTCTGCACTGAGCCCCACACCTCTCTTCTTGTTTCTGCTGCTGAGTATAGAGTTGGTGTCTCTAAAGACTTCACTACTTACTGGCCTGATACTAACCACTTGGATCTTCCCTCCTCCTGAGCCACTGCACTGTGCTTGGCCAAAGAAAATTTGGCAGTAGAGTGATAAGCCACTCCTTACACTTGTTTTTAATGTCATGTAAATGTAATATTTTGAAATATTTCTTATGTAATATTTGTCGGGTAATATCTAGGTCATTACTTGTTTGCAGCCATTCAAGCTCCACCCATCCCATTAAAACACTGAGTCACACTGATCCACTTGACTAACTGTCTCACAAACGCATGGGTATTTATTTACATTTAGGCATTACTTACACAATATATTTTACAGTAGTGTCATTTATCATTCCGGATTTTTTTTACACGTTAAAATAATTTGAGAAGGGAAGTAAATAACACTGTAATAAAGAACAGCTTGTTTCTTTCGTGCATGCCTATCTCCAATAGAATCCTACATGTTTTATTCGAAATTGTTTTCTTTTTTTACCCTAACAGATGGAAAACAGATTGAATCTTGGCAGATAAATCATTTTGATAACACCACACAACCACCATTTGATAAAAGCAGCACAAAGCACTCTACAAATGCAGTATATCTGCAGCAATCACCATTTTTTGTTAGCACTCCTAAATGACTTTGTCTGCTAAACCTAGTTCTGAAATATGAAAGCACTTTTTGATAATATGTTGCCTCAAACTGAGAAGTCTTTTAGGGTTTCAAGTATTGAAAATGCAACACCTGATAGAGTAGCAAATGAACTTACTGTATGTAGATTCCCTTGAAAAACATCTAACGGAAGTTCACAAACTGTACTACTTGAGCTAAATCAGTAAAACAAAAGAGAAATTTGGATGAATTCAGTGTGAGGTCATTGCTTTGCCACCCAATTTTGAACAGTTTATAAGATGTCTAAATATTTTGGGGAAAAAAAATCCCATTTCTTTGTGAACTCAGCTTTTCATTGTGCTGTGAAGATGTAGATCACACACATAACAGGCTACTGGTTCATGTGCCTGTGTTTAGCCTGTGCTGGGAAGCAAAGGGTAGTGGAGAAATGACTGAGGAAGAAGACAGAGGAAAAGTAGGCTGTTTCTCTTTTCCTCTTCCAATCTGTCCCATTAGTTTTGGCTCAGTTCCTCATAGGAAGCCAGTTTGTTTCCAGGCCAGTCCATTTTGTCACTGGAATAAACAGAGGAAGCTTCACCTGGCTCCCCTACCCTTTTGAATACCGATGACTCCCACCTCTTTCATCTAGACTTTTGGCATGCATGGATATCCTGAATTCTCCCATCAAATACAAAAAAGCCACACACTAATGTAGCCAGTTGGATGTGCATACACACACATACACAAAAAAGCAGACTGATGTCTGAACACTTGTGTAACTGGAAATGAGCTTTTCAATCCATTGTTCATTTTGGGAATTACACTTGTTTGCTTGTTTGCTTCTTGCAAAGAGTTTGACACCACTTTCACTGTACAATAGATATTAAGCTACTGCCAGAGGGTGATATCAATCATCTCATCTTACTCTTGGCAAGAACATGAACAAGCATATTTCCAAAAATTTTGAACTGTGCCTGCAATATGACAGGTACGCTTAGGTATATGATAAAATACAACAGGATATTATATGGTAGGATTTGATATGATGTGATTGTGCACTAATCAGTATAGTTAATAACAGAGGTAGTGATGATGTTGGTAGTTGTAGTAGAACTACTGAATGATCGAGAAGATTGTTTATCTAATTTAGTGACAAGTGGTCTGTCCAACAGGAAGATGATTCTGACTGTGGAGGAGGGACCTGCCTAAGCCCATGTTTTTGGCCAGTGCTCGCGCTCCAAGTGCTGTTGTTGTGGATCATCACATCCTTTCAACACTCATGACCCTCACACACACTCATACACTTACACACTGATCATCATCTTGTTTCACAAGAGGCCAGAAGACACTCCAGTTATGCCATACAGGATGTATGCTGAAGATCCGCAAGACTTTTATTTTTCCCCTTGACAGCCGGTATCAGTGGTTCCATTTTCCAATGCCAAAGGGTGCTCATTCATTTCCTCCTCATCATTTTCAAAAATAGACACATAATAACTGTGTCAGCTGCACACATTTCCATGATACAGTATACTCCTTAATACTCTCCTATGGTGCAAGAGTAAGAGCTAACCAAACCCTTTAATTCTGCCTCTTTTGTTTCTCTGAATTATTTAGCAGAAGTTGCAGAGTTACCCACTCACCCACTATGCCAACTAAATATCATTCAAATACTGACTGCATTGATTTGTGTAGTTGTCAATATTGTTTGTTGCTTATTTATTGCAAATGAATCATTATGCTGTAATGATTGTTTATTTTGGCAACCAGTGTAAGTATGAAAATGCCTATTTTGTTTTTAAATGTATGGTACCTATCTACTTATCTCTTTCATTTTTGTACTTAAAACCAACAAGCATTTCATGATTAGCTAGGTGTTGTATTGTAGCAGCATGTGCTCAGTACAGAGCTAAAGACAACACCAATACTCTGACGCCAAAGCTCCACACAGTACCAAGGACCACAGATGCATATACACAAACCTACTACAGAGAACCGGCTACTTTATTTTAAGAGATTTCTCAGATGTCAGTGTACATCAGTATTCAAGTTACAGCATTAGCTAGACAGATAGATACCTTTGACACCTTGCTGAGAAATACAGAAAGTGAGGTCACAGAGAATCAAAATCTATTAGAATATTATAATTTCAAATATATTTGTACTTGGTCTGACAGCTTTGGTTGTCTTCAGTTCGATGCATCAAATTCCCAGTGCCTACATAGTAGCTCAAACTGTCTGTTATTTGAATAAAGCAATGCATCAGTTGTGTTCTTATCATGTATGCTTCTATTCTAATGCTTGCTGCAGTATAGCAGAGGGGATAGCCCTTGCAGTTATCTGTGGTGAAATGGGCCAAATCTGGTGCAGTTCTAATGTATGTGGTCCAGACAACAGTAGAAACACTCAGTGATTTTGATCATGGGAGGAAAGAAATAATTTCTTCCATAGTGAAAAATCTAAACCAGACTTGAGCTTGCTTTCCAACACCTAGACTTTATTAGTCCTGTTTCTGTTCCCTTTCTGGATCACAAGACTCAGGAGCCAAGATGACTTTTGAATGAGATCAGCATATCAAAATGACTGTTTCTTTGCTTTTTCTCCTTGCTGTTCTCCTTATGCTTGTTCCCTCTTTGTGTTGCTTTGTAAAGTGCTGTGAAGCAGCTACTGAAGACTCAGTGTTGACGGTGCAATGTTATGGGATGAGCTTGTTCTGTGTTTGAATGCTGTTTATGCCCATGGTCAGAGTCAGGGCCTGCTGGAGAGAATATAGTACTACCAGTGATAATTTTGCATAGTCTTGATTTGTCTTAAAAATCACTGTACATGTTTTACTGTTCCATATTTTTTAGCTATTATTATTATTTTAGCAATTAAAGTTGAGTTCTCTCCACCTTGCCTTCATGGTGACCTGCTGGTGTTGAGTGTTCAGGTTATGCCTGTCTATCAAAGTTGTGTGTTGACTTGTGTTTTACCCCAGGGGAGTCCTGTGTCTATGTGCAGGCATGTGCGTGTCCCTCTGATATCTGATTGTGCTTTAATACTGTACATGAATTACTCTTTTGTGGAACTTGACTGGCCTGAATAAATTTTGTATACATTTGTACGCCAATACTATTTACTGTATAAAAAAAGGAAAATGAATGAAAAGAAAACTGTTTATAATATGGTGTTGAATATTGTGCAAATATAATATATTCACAATAAAAGTGTTGTATTGTTATGATCTGAAGTGCTCCTTGTTTATTCTGTCACATCTGGAAAGTTGCTTTGGCTCCACTGGGAACAAACCAAACATGTTGTCCTTCCTGCAGAAAGAGACAGCTGCTGAAAAAGGAAAGCGCATTTGCATCTGTGTGTGCATGAAGTGAAGGTCTGACTGATTGTTACTTTGTCAAATAGCCCTGATAGTTTCTTCACTGCCTAATAACATCAATCATTTTGGCTCAAACATTTTACTGGTTTCACTGGTTTCAAGTCTGTTTTATGCCTGATCACACCCAGCATACAGTAAATGTCAGGAGTGATTTGCGGTTGGGTGTAGTCAGAAGTATGCTACATTAAATCCATAACCACAATTGACAGTGATGTCATTGAGTGCTCACACAACCTGACACACACTACATTGTTGCAGGGAGGTAAGAAGATTTTTAGAGGTTGTTCAGCTATTTTATAGTTAGCTATTCACATGTACTTAATGCTGAGGATTACTGAAATGGAATGTACATGAGGACATATCTGCAGTTACTAATTTGTATTGTTTTTCCTATGTTATATACAGTAATGTAAAATTTGAATGAATTTAAAATGGAATCATTGTTGATCTATTTATTTAAGTAAAAATACATTTGGCTAAATCTACAGTACATGCATGACGTGCAGCAGAAATGGCCACCCAGGAGAATACCTAAATGCCCCTAAAAAAAAAAAAAAAAAAAAAAAAAAAACTTTAAACCAGTTACTTCTT